CACACTCCCGCCTGCCTTTTAGCACACATTGCTTTTCTATGGGAACCGACCCAAAGCTTCTCTGCAAAGCAGCTGCCAGCATTCCCAGGGCCCTGCTGGGAAGGCAGAGGCCCTGTCATCACGAGATCGCAGAAAGCGCCACCTTCCAGGCCCGCCCCCTCCCCCCCGCGCCTTCCCCGCGGCTCCCGCATCACCTTCGACCCCCGCGTTGCCGTCACTCCTGAGAGAGGTGTTTCTTGTCTCAGATGCTGCCTCGTTTTCTATATTCTCCCCTTTGGCGTCGTGTTTGTTTTTCAAGACTGGCATTTAATCCCGGGTGGATTTCAGCCACTTTGCTCCATAACAACAGCCCAGCACTTGCTGTCGGGGAGCAGCTGATCCAGTCACACACCTGGAAAGTGGGGGAGTGGGGTGAGTTCCAAACTCCCCTCCATTCTGTGACTCTGCTAATGTGGAACGTTTCTGGTTTTCCATTGGCGCTTTTAAAAACTTAGGACATTTAATGTAATACGGAGAAGTCTGTAGAACATATACGCACAGTTTAAAGGATAATTATAAAATAAATACCCATGTGGCCATTCCCTAAGTCAGGGAAGAGCATTGGGGCTCCCCAGAGGCCTCCTGCACGCTCCTCCCTGTTCCCCACAGTCACCCCCAAAGGCGCCCAGCACCCCGATTCTGACCATAAGCATCTCCCCGCTTCCCTTCCCACCAGCATTGCCCTGCACACCTGCACTTCGTTCTGCGTGGTTAGACCCCCAGTGGCTGCACCTGTGCTGGGCGCATGCAGACTGTTCTTGTCGTTAACCCCTAAGCAACACAGTAGAGGAACTTCTTACAGCGCCTGTGTCGTAACAGGTGCCACGAGTAACCTAGAGACGATTTAAAGCGAGCGGGAGGGCGGGCGGAGGTTGTTTTTCATGATCTTGATATTTTTACGAGTCGAAGACAGCAGTTATTTTGCAGAAATGTCCTTCAATTTGGGTCTGTCAGATGTTTGCTCGTGATTCGATTCAGATACGAATATGGGCAGGAATACCACAGAAATAGTGTTTTTCTTAGTTGTCATATTTTGAGGCACATGACATCCATCTGCTCCATTACGGATGGTGGCTTCTAGTTCATCTGCCAGGTTTCCCGCCGTAGAGACACTATTTCTACTTGATGCACTATCTTGGGAGGAGACAGGCTGAGACTCCTTTCATGCCCTATGTGTGCTATTCATTTGTCATCAAACTTTCACTTGCTAGTCCTTTGTTCATTTGTTTGT